GTCATATAAAGGCTTGTTAGTCATTACAAGGAAAATTGCTAGAAAATCTGTAGCCTTTTTTGTGGTGAAATAAGTTGCTTAGATTCCTTGGATGTTTAAAACTTCTTTCAAAAAGAATTATCTACTGTGTAAGTACAGGCAGTTCAGTGAAGTTCTTTGTAGTTTTGCCTGTGTACTTGTAAAATAATTTAGATATAAAATTACTTTATTATTATCTACTGAATTTTATTTAGTTATTGTTGAACCATTTGTGTTAGCTTTTTTGTTGTTTAACTGTCAGGCTTTTCCTTAGGATTGTGTTTTTTTTTCCCCTCCCTTCTTCAACCTCAAAGTCTTGAGTAGAATTCATTAGCGTGCATTGTTTGCACTTTTTTTCCTTAATAGCCAACCATTTTCCTAGGTGAGTTCTTTACCCAAATGCTAAGTCCAGTGTTCATCAGTTTCTGAGATACAATAGATGCACTTAAGACTGGGATAGCTCTGGGACTGATCGCTCTGTTGGTTATGTATTGGTTAACAGGAAAGAAATCGTGTGGAGTTAAGTTTTGTTAATAGGGATCTTGAATAGTTGCAAGTCTTACTGCTTTTCAAAACAGGTGTCACTTTTCAGTTTCTAACAAAATATTTTAAAATCAAAGAACAGACCTCTTTATAGTAGTGATGTAATTTTTATGTAACTTTAAACTAGTGTATCCTCACTATCTAGAATATGATTTTCTTTGTGGAAGATAGGAGGGTTAAAAGTAGACTGTGATTAGCGTGTGAGGAAGTGCTAAGGCTATCAGTTTATGTGAGAAGTCCTAATTAGGACTACAGGCTTATTAAGCTTCTCAGTTCTTACGTTTATCAGTCTTGTACCATTAGCTGTGAGTGTCCATACAGATAATGATCTTGATGCTTGAGAAGATTACAGGCAGATTCTAAACTGAAGGGTAGAAAAAGTGCTTGAGGGTTGTTTTCTTCTTGGATTTATTAACTCTGGAAAGCACTGTGGTTTTTCGTTAGGAAGATGATTAGGAATGTGCAATTGTGTTAACTCTATTCTTTGCCTCTGTCACTCTTTTAAGACATTCTTTTTCTGTTCAGTTCTTCAGAGGCCAGTTTGTTCCTGAAGAATATAGCAATTTTCAATTGACTTTAATAGACACTTCACAGAGAGAATTAGATCTTTGGATTTCTGGTGTGGTATTTGGTGACAGTGATGCTACCACGACATTAATCAACAAGAGGAAGCGCTGAATAAATCCCCACGGGGATTCCTTCACTTTGAATTAGGCTCAGTATTGTTCATTTTCATTATATTGAATTGCCTTTGTCACAAGTAGCACTTGTGGCCAGTAGAAAAGCCTATTCAGCACTCGCGAGAGATGATGGCCAGTACATGGTGAGACCAGTGCTTGATGAGACCAAACCGAAACCGGACCTGCCTTTATTAAAGCATAAGAGAAGCAAGTAGAAATTAGCCAGGCCACAATATGTAATTATGTTCATTTTCATTATATTGAATTGCCTTTGTCACAAGTAGCACTTGTGGCCAGTAGAAAAGCCTATTCAGCACTCGCGAGAGATGATGGCCAGTACATGGTGAGACCAGTGCTTGATGAGACCAAACCGAAACCGGACCTGCCTTTATTAAAGCATAAGAGAAGCAAGTAGAAATTAGCCAGGCCACAATATGTAATTAGATTTTCTTTCCCCGGCTATTGTTTCCTGCTGTCTGCTGAGATAAGGTTTTCCTTTATTTTTCCAAGTATATCATAGTAAGGGGCTTGGTGCTTTTGCTCACAAGGCACAGTCATCGTTCTGACCCTTATACAGTGCTGAGTAGTAGAGTTTTTACTCCCCAGTGTCAGCGCAGTCCTGGTTGCTTGTCCTCTTTGCAGGCTGTCTTCCAAGGTCTGGTGGGGACTGCCTACCTCTGAACTCCCTTCAAAGCTGCACAGCAAAGCCCAGTTGCCCACTCCTTTTTGACTCTTCCATGTATCCCCTACAGAAGATAAAATCCATTTGGCATGCAGATCTCCTTAAAGGGTCTGGTGTAACTAGGATGTAGTTTCTCATTGGCATTACAGGTGAACCTTCATAAGTCACTGATGCCAGGAAGGCAGAAGACCATTGGAAAAGGTTGTAACAGGAAGCACTGTAGAGTCTAGATAGGTCCCTGAGCTGAACTTGGTCTGATAACTTTGAAATTCTGCATTGCTGCATCCATGTGCGTACATTCATGCATATACAGATAAGCTCCCCAGTGCATTTGTGCAAGATGTGTGAGCACGCGTTCATGTTTTAAATCCAGATGCAAACATACATACTTTTTAATTAGATCTCTACAGGATGTTCAAATACATAGTAAGTTATTTCTGTTTTCTCTTTCTACAATGAAAGAATCCATTGTAATTAATTGCTAACATCTTCAATAAGAAGACAAGGTATTTTAGCAAACTTCATAGACTTTAATTGGAAAGATAACTTGGGCAACTATCCGTGTTTAATGGGCTGAACGTAGTTTTGGCACTACCCGTCTTATGTAAGACTCTTCAAGCATCATAGATTTATGGATTATAGCTAGGCAGGAGTTATGAGAGGAATTTTTTTTGAAAGGAGACTGTGAGCTGCACTGTATTCTGAGCTGTGTGCCAATGTCCAGATTAGCCCAAAGCCTTGAAACTCCAATAATGATCTTCACCAAAGCTTCAAAGTAGTAATTTATGCTTTATTTTAAAGTAGGCTGCTACTAGCTGGCCTGCAAGCATTTATATTTAATAAGACATGACTGTCTTTAACATTATGTTTAAACTGAGTTGTTTATTTAAATGTAATGCTAAAGATCACTACATGCATTATTAGATTGCTGCATTAACTCCAAGAACGGTATAGTGCAACTCTAGGTAGTACTTTCTCCTATATTGAATCAGTACTTTTTTTTTTTTCTAATTGATTTTACAGTATAATGTTGACTTAATTAAATCAACCTTTGTTTTGATGAAAGTGCTTCACATCTTATAAATACACATAGACCACACTAGATAACATAGTAGATACAAGGACATTAGAAAAAACCCTATACCAAACCCTTGCTAACAAGTGAAATAAACCTATCGAACAGGAGCAAAGTTTTCAGAAAGCCTGGATATGTTCCAGCAGCCTCTTCCAGCCATTTTCCAGGCCCAAAACTGAAATATCAGAATGGCTTTCATTCTGCTTTTGCACTGGTTTCATATTCTCTAATCTGTATACTCGTGCTGCAGGTGACGTCATTATTTGTCAAGGTGAACAAGTCCCGCATCAGACTCGAATGTTGCAATTAAAATTGCATTTATGGAATATACTTTATAGTTTTGAACTGTGGAACAGTCAGTTTCACTTGCATATCTGTAACTCTGTGAGGTGATGGAAACAGCTCTTCCTTACTGTTCAGGCAGTGTGATTCCTTGCTCGTAGGCATAGGTTACAGGTACAGGTGATCGCTGCTAGGGCTGTAGGAGGCTTGCTGCACGCTTCTGGAGTGTTTCTAAGGTTTTGCAACTTCGGTGTCCCTCCATATGCTTCTCCTTCCTTGGGAAAGGGAGTTATGAACATTTTCTCTCACCACAATCCATGATGGTATTTAGTTGCTGTATAGCATGACATGATGGTTTGTCTACCTACCTTCATAGCAGTCAGGAGAGTTGCGTTTTCTCTGATCTGGCTGTACCAAATCTGAAACAATGGTATCGTGAATGCTATAAACTGGCATTGCTGCCAGAAGAGCCAGTTCTGCTCTCCTCTCCTCCCTGACGGTCTGACCGAGGTTAGAGGAAGCAGCAGGGAGAGGGACAAAAAGGGAGTAATTTTAGCGTGGAGCAGCTCCCCGGCTGGGTTCACTGCCTGGCTACACAAACATTTGTGCCAGCACAAGGCAGGAAGGGTGCACAAGGGATGAAACGAGTGGTCAGGATGGGGGAAAATGAGAATGTTTCTTTTGCTGATGCCGCAGGACTGAAGTGTTTATGAAACTGTGGTTGAAGTACCTCACTGGTATCCAAACACAGAAATGGCCCCTGCAGTCCCCGACCACCTCTCTGCTGGTCCAGGCTCTTCAATTCCTCAAACCAGATGTCACTTTCCTGTAACTCTCTTGCTCAAAACTGGGATCTTTTTTTTTGCCACTTCCAGGTGTTTCCAGCATGTGGCTGAAAAAACAAAGCATGTGGAAATAGAACAGTGCTGGTTTCCAAGTGAAACAGTAATACTAGAAAAAGTTTAAATTTCAGAGCTTAGAGACCTTTTTGGTTCAAATTGGATAGAATTGTAGGAGGCTTTCGTTTTCCCGGATACACGCTCCTGTGACCTTGCTTTCAGCAAATCGCTGACTGGCCAATATGTGGTAGTTCTCACTGGTTGCCTGGTTTAAATGTTTTTGTTGCCATCATCTTTGTGTCCCTGACTGGCCTTTCTTTTTTTTCTTTTTTTTCTTTTTTTTTAAAAAAAAAGCGAACTTGGACTAGTTGTGTCAGGAAAAAGGCCAAAATGCCTGTTGGCCTGTAATCATAGTTCATCACAGGATGCAATCATACACTTGACAGATATGGACCCAATTGTGTTCATAATTATATGGTAAATAGTTCACAAAAGAGAACGGTTTTGCCACTTAATGATGTCTTTTTAGATGCTTATAAGGAAATGAAAGGGAGACTACACCAGGATTACTTTTATTAAACATTTAAGTCTTCTCTTCTTGATAGTCATAATAAAGCTTCCTACTTCTGATCCTTGTCAGATGAGAATTTCAAAGGACTTTATAGACATGAAGTAAGGCATTTAAAAATTCATCCCTCCAGTGAGATGGAAAACTGTTATCCCTCTACTGCCGCAGGGAAACACGAGCCACAGTAATGTGAGGAAGATTTTCCAAAGCCTCACATCAGCGAATGAAACTTAGATCCAGAATAGACATTAACCTCAGATATGCTAAGAAAAAAGTACTGGCTCTAAATCCTTTCTTCTCTCTCCTTCTCTAGGCTTTCTTTGTTGACCACAACTCCCGCACGACCACGTTCATTGACCCCCGGCTTCCCTTGCAGAGTAGCAGGCCCACCAGTGCGTTAGTCCATCGGCAGCACTTAACCAGACAACGCAGCCACAGTGCTGGGGAGGTGAGTTGGATCTGCCCCTTCTCCTCAGGAACCACCAGGTTTTTAGGATCGTCCTCTTTCACATCGTTCCATTCACAATTCCATGTTGTGAGGAGTATGATTCTTCTGTATTATTTTATTTGCTGCCCATTGTTGCTTTTGAAATGTATGATTTCAGAGGAAAGATATCAGACGTGAGTTTCTCTTACTTTTAATCCGCAGTAACCCCATTTAACCACAGGAGAGCACCTGATTACAGATTACCAGTGTCTGTATCCTGTCTTTCGCTGTCAAAATAGGTATTATTGTCTACCATGGTGTCTGCCAAGTACGTTGATGTGACTCTGCAAATAACGTGTGTATGTACATCTGGATGTGCAAGTTTCCAAATAACTATAAAAGATCTTGCCACATTAGGCTTATCAGACTGTTATATGCATATGCCTATGCATTTATTCTCTGCTTTCTAAACAGAAACACGTGGAAGTTACTATTTTGTTGATAGGTCACTGTGGATCATTTTCACCGGCAGCCTCCATATTGTTGTTGTAACTTCTTTCTACTTGTAAGCAAGAGTATGTACAGTGACTCAGACTTCAGTTGTACTTTATTTAACTTCCATACTGTTGGCTGTAAGTTGTCTTTTCAGAGGAGGGCTATTCCATGCCAGGAATTAAAGATAATACAAGCTAGAATGGCAAGAGAAATGCTCTGATTTATCCTTTTTATAGCTCAGTCTTGCAGCAGCTGAAGTTCTGGCAGAGATCTGTCTCAGAGCAGGCATGAATCTTCTCTACCACTTCTCTAGCAGGGCTTCCGCTGAGCTGCTGAGTGTCGTACCACTGACTGCATATCCTGTTGTACCCTGTGTGAACATGGTTTAGTCACCCACGATACTTCCCACCCAGCCCCTTGCAATGTTAGGTGTATTTTACAAATGGTTTTAAACAGCGTTTTCTGTCAGTTTGGTGATGTCATGTAGGCAATGATGTCCTACAGCAGGCAAGGAAGCCAGAAGTGTCTACATATAGTTATTTTGATCTTCAGTAGGATAAAGCAAATGCTCCTGTTGTGAAATAATTTGTAACAGAGCAGAAATCATTTTTTTTCTTAACTTTACCAAATATACACTGAAATTATCTTTCTTTAAGCAGCATGCAGAAGCTCTGCACTTAAAACAGAGAGATTCATGTCAGCCACACTGCTGAAGTTGTCAATACTGCAAAATAAATGTAGTTTATCCTACAGGAAGTCATCATATATTTTGCATATGCACAGTGCTAATTACCAGTCAAAATTTCCCACTCTGTCTAGATAGATAAATTCTTTAAACTGTGTTTCTACATACAATTTTAGAAGTATTTCCTTGACATTATTACAATTGCAACTTGAATTGAAGTGTAATTCCAGATAGGCATCTCAAACATAGCAATTCAATACAGTATTCGCACTCTGGGATTAATGATGTAATGATGTTCATTTGTATGCATGTGTATGAGTCTGAACACCATTTTTTCTTCTGTGCTTATGACTTAAGTATTGCATGTTCGCAGCTGGTTTTCCTATTTTTAAACCATTGCATCAAGGAACTGTATGTTATTGCAAAAGATGAATACTTAATGAAAAAAAATTCTCAAAATACTTTCTTTGGATTTGCCTTGTCACGAACTTTGATGTTTTGAAGCCACTGACCCAGTTTTTACAGGGAGATGCTCTAAAGCAAACATTAACAAGTGTAAGGAATGCCTTTTTAGCTAGAGCTGAACTGCAGTGTGAAGCTGGAGCTAATAATAATGGCATTCCTTTTCCAGCACAGTGCCTACAGGAAATAATTTTTCATTTTTCTGAGAGAGTGTTATCAGAGAGCACAAAGGTCTTGGGAGATATCTTGGGACTTTTGCTTCTTCTTAATTTCAGAGACTGGGTTTAAAAACAACCTTTATAATTATTTGATCTTTTGCAGTTAGATGTTTTAGAGATCTTTGAAGCTTCGATGTGTAGTGCAAATGCTAACCATTACATGTAGGCAGAGGAACTGAGAAGTAGACATAAAGGTCGAGCAGGATGAAAAAGAGGTTGGACAAAATGTATTATACAGATAGAATACAAAGTACTGACACTTCAGTGGAAATGACTGAAGCCCCAGTACACACGAAACTGCAGAAGTTGCTCTGAAATGACAAATGCTACCAGGAACAATTTTACATGGTAGTTCTACCCTAAAAAATGTTCATATGCAACATTTTTTAATCTCAGATTAAAAAAATCAGAACTGTTTTACTGAATGATTGTAGGAAATGTACTTTTACCAGTTTTGGACTTGTTTGCCTTGCCAGAATGTGAACTCATTTCTTTATCCTCCTGCTTCAGCCACAAACTTCTTTCCATTTCAAATTTAGGGAAACTCCATTCATGCACAGAGGTAATAGAGGTGCTAATGAATTGAAATGAACAGAATTTGATTTTTCAGATCCTTTGATATGGATGAAGATGTCCATGAAGTACAAAAGATCCTCTGAAGGAATACCAGTTTGAATTTTTTAGTTCTGTTTCAGAATGGGACTAGTATTTTAAAATATCAGTAAACTTTCAGTCAGTTTTGATTCTTCATATTAATAGGCACAGTACACTTAGTAATGTTTTGCTAATAACTGTCATATAGCACAGCAGTGGTTCCTGGGGATAGCGATCAAGCAAAGCGTTCACGTACGTGCTTAGTTCTCACTTTTATGTCCCTGCGGACACACGCTGGCACAGAGACACTCATTGTGGTTCCTTGGACGTTTTCAGGTCGGAGAGGACTCCCGTCATTCAGGACCACCGGTTTTGCCAAGGCCGTCTAGCACATTTAACACAGTCAGCAGAGCTCAGTACCAGGATGTGGTTCCAGTGGGTAAGTCGGCATGCGGCCTCTTTTCACAGAAGTTCTCCGTGACTGAGTGCGTCACGTCAGTGCGCACTGCTGGGTTTTTCATTCGGTTGGGGTGGGTGGAAGTTCCATTTGTTACGATTACTTCTGTCCATCAGCATTTCCCAATTGTTCAGTTGCAACCTGCAGGAATAATACTGAAAAGTATCTGTGCAGAACCAAATAACCCATGAAAAACTTCTGCCTTCCTAGCTCTCTTACTCTAAGCGGTGACAGGAAGAGTCGAAGCCAGTGAGGCAAGTTGTGACCTAATTGGACTCCATGTATTCCCAGTGATTTTTGTACAACTTCTGGGCATCTATTTTGGCAGGATTCCAGAAAGTGTTAATCAGCTTGGAACTAGTCATTAGCTTAACTTCTGTTCTCAGTTACATACACAGAAAGTTCCTGGCTTCTATGGCACCAAGAACAGCGTTTAGCTTATTGAATCTAACAGCTGTCACATTGTGCTAAATAAAGATAAATTAATCCGATTGACTATAACTGGCTCTTTGTACTGTGGCATGTTTACTCGAAAATCTCTGCTAATTTAAATCCTTCCCCTTGCCATGGACACTGCAGGCTCAGCAATTAGTGAGGATTTGATATGGGTGTTTCCAATGACCATTTAATATTTGAGAATGGATTTCAGTGCAGTGAAAACCAAGGTCTCTGCAATTTTATTCTAACAGTGAATGTTATAGTTTGACCTTAGCTAAGAGTGAGTGATAAAATATAATAGAAATTGCTAACAAAATTAGAGCTGTTGACAGCGAGGAGGATGTGTTGCAATCAGATTGGGTTCATAATCAAGAAGCATGTTCCCTAAATGATAGCAGAATTGGTAGCTTTTCATGAAAAAGTAGTAACGCAATACTGCTAAACTTAAAACTGTGAAGATGAAGTCTGCTGTCATTATTGTTCAAAACTCAGAAGGAATAGTCCTGTCTGTTAGTATGTCCTTGTTTCAGCATGTTTTTGTTGATGCTTTCAGCTTACAATGACAAGATTGTTGCGTTTTTGCGGCAGCCCAATATCTTTGAAATTCTACAAGAGCGTCAACCAGATCTTACCAGGAATCATTCACTCAGGTAATAAAGTCAGTGAAATCTGCTATTCCTATTTCAATACGAAATGCTAATTAGAATTAATTTCTTTCGTTAAAATTAACAGTGGAACATAACAAATTGTAGATTTGTGGCCTATTCAAACATATTAATAACACTGTGGGAAATAGTTCTTTATTGTATTTGTATGTAAATTCCTGAAATACGGTTTAGGAGAACAGAGGTAATATGTTATTACCAAATAAAGGTACCTACAATAAAATGCTTGGAACAACTGGCATAAGAGATTTGCTGAGGTCTTCAAAATGTGCCAAGACAGCTGGATGGCACAGCAAATGTGCCTGTGCCCGTTCATTTGAGTATGTGTACAGCTGGGAGCATGAGGCAGAATGGCATTCAGTTTTGTCCTTATCTTCTCAATGCGCATTTACAGAAAGGCTGTCCTGACCTAATGACCTGGGAGGTAATCTTATACCAAACAGAATTTTTCGCGTTTCTCCAGAAGTTATAAAAAGTGCATGTACAGGTTTTTGCATAGTCCAACGAGATCTGATGAAGGCTGATCTTTGATTGTTATATGGTTATTATAACTCCCTTGTATGCTTAGACTAGGAATGATAAAAAAGTGAAATTCAGTGGCAAGATGCCTCTTAAAGTGTATCCTGCACAAAGACACTTTAGTTCATTCACTTGACTGTAAAACATGGAATAACTAACAACTTGGATATTAGTGACTAGGATTCGAATGACTGTATCTATTCTTCCTTGGACATTAAATGCTAAAAATACTGGTTTGATGCTTGTGGTCTGTCCTGTGCAGAGAGCTGGCAAGGCAGCGCTCTGTGTTCCAGATGACTATCCACACTGGCTGGCATAGCAGCCAGCACTGATTTTCAGGTTTTTTTCCCCTTCTCATAGTGTTGCTTATTGATCTGTTTTCCTCCATGTCCTGCAAGTTTCCAAAATTCAACAAGCTGCCCTGTTTCGCAGTTTCCCAAAGCATCGTGTTGTAACAACATTTGTTTTGCCCTCTGAATAAATCCTGGCTGACAAACCTGAAATGACGTACTAGCAGAATACATGTTCTCTAGAAAATACAGAGAAAATGAGGAAAATAAAAATCTATGGTTCTCAGGCTGTCAGGACAGTTCCTGTGTTGCACATGTATCGCTACAGGCAAATTTGTTCCACCAGGCTTGGTTTGAAATGGCAGCAAACTAAGCTACTGGGAAATAGTATACAAACAATTTCTGATTATTAGTAGTTTTATTTTTCTTTTTTCTTTTCCCCAGGGTGCTTGGCTTTCTTTACTCTGATAGCAATCAGTGTCATTTTCTTCATGTGTTTTGTGCTTTTTTCGATGATTTAGAGTTCAGACTGTTCAAAAGACTTGTTGGTATTGTCAGATTCTGCTGCTTGTAGAACCTTGCTTCCTGAATACAGAATCATGATTTGCCACAAGCTGAGCCCTTATCAAGAAACAATGGTTTTCAGATGAAAAATGGAAGATCAAAGGAAAAAAGACACTGGTTTCTGTAACTCTGCATTTACTTGAGACTATATATACTTCTGTATGCTTAGTTCATAAATAGACTGAAGATATATGTCTAACTTACCTGCTTTAGAAGAATGATTGGGGATTTTAATGAACATAGGTTTATTTTACATTAAATAAGATTGGCCAGAGAAGGGATTCTGTTAAGCAGAATTGTTCCATTCTAGTCTTGTCTTTGAAGTTAGTATATTTGATTAAGGTTAAGTATTTTCTGTTACACCTCTCCTGTATGCTTCTAGAGCTGATGCTTCAGTGATGTTTATTATGTTTTTATAAAGATCTGTTTCGTTTTTCCTAGTTAGTCTTTTAAGACTCTGATTTAGCAAGTTACTGGAATCCACGTCTATTTGACACATTGTGAGACCAAGCAACTCCAATAACTTTGCTGTAACACTCAGTGACTGAAGATCTAAGTGAAATCCCACACTATGAATTCTTTGTGTCTTTTTTTAAGTGTAGTGATTAGTACAACTGTCTGTAATCTGTTTCTTTCAAGACCTCGGTGTAATTGAAGTAGAATGATAGGATCATAGAATGGTTTGGGTTGGAAGGGACCTTAAAGATCATCTAGTTCCAACCCCCCTGCAACGTGCAGGGACACCCTTCACTATACGAGGTTGCTCAAAGCCTCGTCCAACCTGGCCTTGAACACTTCCAGGGATGGAGCATCCACAACGTCTCTAGGCAACCTGTTCCAGTGCCTCACCACCCTCAGAATGAAGAATTTCTTCCTTATATCTAATCTAAATCTCCCCTCTTTCAGTTTAAAGCCATTGCCCCTTGTCCTATCACTACACGCCCCTGTAAAAAGTCCCTCTCCAGCTTTCCCGTAGGCCCCCTTTAAGTACTGGAAGGCTGCAATAAGATCACACCGGAGCCTTCTCTTCTCCAGGCTGAACAGCCCCAACTATCTTAGTGTGTCTTCATAGCAGAGGTGCTCCAGCCCTCGGATCATCTTTGTGGCCCTCCTCTGGACTTGTTCCAGTAGCTCCATGTCCTTCTGATGTTGGGGACTCCAGAGCTGAACGCAGTATTCCAGGTGGGGTCTCACAAGAGCAGAGTAGAGGGGCAGAATCACCTCCCTTGTCCTGCTGGCCACGCTGCTTTGGATGCAGCCCAGGATACGGTTGGCTTTCTGGGCTGCCAGCGCACATTGCCGGCTCATGTTGAGCTTCG